CTAAACACAAATTTCACGAGCTAGATGTATTAGTGGAAGAGCTTAGCCCAGGTATTGTGGCCATTAATGAAACATGGCTGGTTTCTGGATTAGATGACACACCTGAGCTATGCGGATTTAGTTGCTTGCGCAGCGACAGGGTTCAGGGTCGTAGAGGTGGCGGAGTTTCTCTGTACATCAACAACTCCCTACATGTTCGTTCCGTGAAATGTGAAGCGCATGATAGTGGGACAAGTGAGGTAATCAGCTGTGAAGTAAGCTTTGCAGCTGGCACTTTACTCATTGGAGTTCTGTATAGAAGTCCCTTTTGTCAGTGTGATGACTTCATTTTAGATCACCTCAAACAATGGAGTAAACACAGTAGCTGTCTTATTCTAGGTGATTTTAATGCACCTCATATGGGCTGGGTAGCTGTCACATCTCCAGGATCCACTAATAAGTTTGACAGCCGGTTACTCTTGACTACCATGGAAAATGCCCTGACACAACATGTCTTAGGTAGTACAAGATTCGGTTCTACCCAAGGATCTTCCTTGCTGGACTTAGTGCTTACTCATGACAACGACGACGTGGATGGTCTAGTTATTCATCCACCTCTAGCAAACAGTGATCATGGGGTGTTATATTTTAACTTAAAGGTTGGCAATTTAGTCAGTTTTCAACCCAAATCCCGACCTAGTGTTTGGCATGCTGACATAGTCTCTATAAAGGAGCGTGCTTCAACTACCGACTGGTCAGTCAATATTGTCTCATCCATTGAAGATGAATGGGATAGATTTAAGAAAACAGTTGAGAGGGTTACCACTGATTTCATTCCCTGGAGGGTTCCTAAAAGACCAACAAACCGGCCACCATGGATAAATAGACAAGCTATAACACTCCTAAGACGGAGAAAAAGGTTCTGGAATCTCTTTGTTTCTACTGGGCTACAGCAGTTCCGGCTGAAATACTGTGAAACCAGAAACCAGTGTAAAACTTTGATTCACCAGTCAAGGATAGCTTACGAAACCCAGTTAGTTAAAAGTTCACCAGGCTGCCCAAAAAGACTCTTCTCATATATCAAGAGAAGAACACGTAAGAGTGATGCTATCCCACCTCTTATGCTTGAAGATGACCAGACAAACATGGCTGAGGATAACTTGACTAAGGCTGAGGCTTTGTCCAAGCACTTTAGTCAAGTATTCTCTGATAATATTGATACCAGCTTTGTAACTTTTCCAGAAGGTAACTTGAAAATGGCACCCTTATACATTGGAAAGGATACTGTCCTAAAGTACCTTCTAAGGCTCAATCCTGGTAAGTCCAGTGGCCCTGATGAACTCCACCCACGTATTTTAACAGCATTGGCTGAAAACATAGCTGAGCCATTGTCGGTAATCTTCAATATGTCTCTGGACCAGTCTAAATGTCCAAGAGACTGGAAAGATGCCATCATTAGTCCGGTCTTCAAAACCGGATCTAGAAACTTATTTCAGAACTATCGTCCTGTTAGTTTAACCAGTATTGTTGTTAAACTACTGGAAAGAATAATTCGTGATGCTATCATTCAGTTCATTGAAGGGAACAAACTTTTCGCTGTGGAACAGCATGGTTTTAGAGCAGGTCATTCTTGCTTGACCAACCTTCTTTTGGCCAGAGAAAGTTGGGCAAGCTCAGCTGATGCTAATATACCGGTGGATGCCATATTCATCGACCTTAGCAAGGCGTTTGACAGGGTTTCTCATTCAGGTCTTCTAGTAAAGTTAGGTAGTATGGGAATCAATAAAGTGGTTGCCGACTGGATTCAATACTTTCTAAAGGACAGAAGACGAAGAGTACGAGTTAACGGGGTTTTATCAACATGGGAATCGGTTAAGAGTGGCGTTCCTCAGGGTACAATTCTAGGCCCACTTCTTTTCCTGATTTATGTTAATGAGATTCCATCGGTAGTTAGGTCATCCTGCTTACTGTTTGCTGACGACATCAAGATATGGAGGGCTTTACATGATGACAGTGATCAACTTGCTTTGCAGGAAGATTTAAACTTGTTAAGTGATTGGTGTAAGCACTGGGCCTTGGAGATTAACTTAAGCAAGAGTGTAGTTATGCATGTATCTCATAGTCACGTGCACAATTACTCAATGAATGGCATTACTCTTCCAGTGGTCACTGAGTACAGGGACTTGGGAGTGGTTGTGCAGCATGACTTGAAAACAGCAACAAACTGTAGAGCTGCAGCCACTAAAGGTTTTCGAATATTATGGGCCATACGCAAAGCTTTTGCGAATTTTGACGCTGAAATATTTCGTATATTATATCCGACTTATATCAGACCTCAATTGGAATATGGGATCCAGGCAGCGAACCCGTGTTTCAAATACGAAACAGACTTATTAGAAAGGGTGCAAAGAGTAGGAACTAAGCTAATAAAAGGTTTCTCAACCCTCTCATATGAAGAGAGGTTAAGTCAACTGGGTTTATTTCCACTGTCATACAGACGACTTAGGGGTGACCTAATACTAGCATACCGTATCCTAAGAAATGATTTTGGAGCAAATTTATCTAATTTATTTCTTCCTTCTAGCACCAACCAATTGCGAGGACATCACCTCAAGGTTCAAAAACCACGGTCGAATCGTCTGCGTTTGGAGATCCGTTTTTCGCATCGGATTGTGAACCATTGGAACTCCTTACCGGAACACGTCGTATCAGCGCCATCCGTTGATTCATTCAAGGCGAGATTGGACCTCCTGTGTGTAACAAATCGAAAGGATTAACACAGGCATATAGCCTACTATCCTAAATAAATTGTAAACTGTAAACTGAGTATTGCAAGGTCATGGGTGCGGTCGCACTCCATTGGTACTTATTACTTGGCCACTACAACTTTGCAATTTTGATAGAGAATAGTTCTTAAACTACTTCAGCTGGAAAACAGTCAATTCCATTCCCATTCTGTGTGTCAGTACTCATCACTGCAAACTTTATATTAAAGAATTTTAGGATAAAAAGATCCCCCATAACATCTATGATATTAAGAACGGGTGGAGTTAGACTATATATATCAGTCACCGCAGACAACCTTAACAATGACCTTGGACAACGAGTAAGAATCAAGTGATGGAAAATAGCACTAAATGGCCAGTGCTTTAAGGAGGAGACAATCACATGACTGGGGCCTTGATGTCAGCAAATTAAACTCTGCCAACGGGAAGACGTGTGGGTGTTACATATTGAATAGATAATGTGACGGCTACGCACATTATGTGGTTGGTAGATTTCACTGAGTGATGACAGTAATGGAAGGAGTAGTCATAAGTGAACAGTCATCACTGTGTACTCGTGCAGCTTATCGTTTCCCTTTAATAGGATTACAGTTCACAATTCACATATGAATACATTCGTGGAAAATTCCCAATGAGACATACATATATGTTTATTCGACAGGCGATAAAGTTTAGTTGTTATGATATAAGTGTAACGAAATTTGATGACATTTCACTTATGACGAGGTTATCTATGACAGATGTCTATCCAGCAGTATTCAAGTGCTTGTACGTTACATGCAACGGTCATTATTACAGGATTTATCAAGCATGAAGGTGAGTGATATTTTGGGGGTGTCGAGTATTTGCTCATTTTTTTCATAACGAGGGCAGTTCAGACAATTTAATAATAATAATAATAATTTGCTTTATTCCAAAACAGTACTTCTGATACAGAATGGAATTCTCAGCATTTTTACCACAGTATCGCATCCAGTTAGTACATTATCAATAAATAGAATTCTACATAGATTAAGGAAATCTCAGTTCAATTATGACAACAACATATTGGCATGTCGGTAGCAAAGCCAAAGTTGAACAGTGTTTGAAGGTGTTATAAAAGTAGGTGCTGTAATATTTACTGGCGTAAGCGGAAGAAAGAAACAAAGCAGCACATAACGGAAAAAGAGAAAAAAAGAGAGAGAGAAAAGGAAAAGAAAGAAAGAAAATGTTGTTCCTATAAATGATATGAGTTGGAAGGTCGAGATCCAGTTGTACTACTGACTATTTAATGAGTTATAGGTGTCACGCCTAATGCTTTCTTTATCACACAGAACACGAGCTAAGTAGGATATGGTTGAGTTTTTGTACTTGCTGGTGCGAGCATATAGTTTTCTATATAGGCTTCTGGTTTTGCCTGATGAGATGCAAGGGGAGAGTTGTGAGTGAAGAGGATGGTGTGAGTTAGATGAAATGGATTTGGCCCATTTTTCACATGAGTCCATGTGCCTGTCGACCACAATATTAACAAGCTGGTTAAGTGGCGCGTTGCTTACCCTGCTGACAACCTTCAACATCCTGCGTAATATGTTATAGTCTTTCTTCAGTAGCCCGGGTTATATACGAGGTTCGACACTGTTCAGCAAGTTGGAAGAAAAACATACTATCTGGTAAACTGTATGAATACCTTGGATATAACTATTCGATGTATTACCGAAGTCTTAAACAGTTGCATATGTCAGTTTGGAGTGACTGAGATGCCTGGAAGCGTACATGTGAATGCAGTGAAGGGGTACGAAGCAATAATCTAGTTCCTTTGGCTTCAAGTTCAACTAAACAGGAAACAGTGGGCATCATTAATGCCAATGAAGCTGTCACTGTCCTCTCATAATATGCATTATAATATATAGTAAAAACGTTTCATAGAAAGTTAGCTGGATCCTGTTACTCAAGCTTATAACAATTCTAAAGTAATTCTAACCTATGCGTCAATAATGCCTGTAAATGAATGTTTAGTCTACCTAAAACGAACCCAGTATGGACTGAAATAACGCTGGTGGTTCTTCAAAAGAGCACTAGACGCTTAACTAATGCTACAAGTCCTTAAAAATAGGATTTACATCTGAAATAATGCCTTTAGTGCTGGAAAAAGAGCATACTTAACCAGTGCAGTGAGTAATGAAAAATCGCACTATAAGGCTAGTGTACAATTAAGTGATTGGGCTTGATTTTAGTCAATTGAGATCTACCAATCAGGCATTAAGAAGACAAATTTCGCGAGATGATATCTTCATTCCGTAGTTTCTTTACAACCGCTTTACAACTAACATGGTTAACAATAATAAAATAAAGTTCATGACAATTACTCAGTTAAATAAAAAAAACAAAAGTACATTCTAATGACCAATTATATTTAGATAGGTCATGTAGTCCATGGTAGGCGAAGATTGAAGTCTATTGTTTTTTGTACACACAGTTTAGGCTGTATGTGATTAATCCAAAGTGCTTCCGTCACCTTCAATAACCAACCTTGAATTAGAGTTATGTGATGAAATAATTGTGAAACAGTCATTAATGTTGATTGATTTTGTGACCTGACATTAATAAGTGTTTTGCAATGGATGATGCTGGATTTCTATTCAGATTAATCGCGTTTGGATTATCTATATGATTTAGTAGCCATTTTCGAATATGTTCTTTTCGACGACATTGGAACATTCTGTTGGTTCTGCCTATATAGGTGTCACCGCAGCTGCAGGTGAACTTGTAGATACAGTTTGAAGTAGAGTCCACAGAATTTCTTCCTTTAATCGTAGGTACAGGGATCGAAAGTGTTCGGCAAGTGAGAAAAAGAGATGCGGCGTAGAATGTGCGTTTGATGGCTGACCGAAGTCTTTGAGCTGTCAACTGCATAATCTGGTCGCCCTTGAATGGTAGGTTAATAAAGATAGCTTTCTTTGGTACAGAAGCTGTCTTTTCGAGATGTGGTTTTTCTTTACTGTGACAAATGATAAACTTTTCTGGATAACCATTAGCTAATAAAACTGAATGTATATTTCGAAACTCATCCATCAATGTGTCACTCGTGCATATTTTTCGGGCCCTTGAGAACAAACATTTCACTTGGGAACGTTTATACTGGATAGGAACAAAACTGGTAAAATGAAGATATTGTCCACTCCATGTCTGTTTACGAAAAATAGATCGTTGAATAGTTCCATCATCTCTCTTAGTCATAGTAATATCCAGGAAACCGAGTTTGTTATTCGATTCTAGTTCGGAAGTCACTCGGATATTTGGATGAATATGATTAAATAGGGTAATAAAGTTTTCAATAGATTTACTATTATTACCAATAATAAGAGTATCATCTACATAACGTTTATATAGCATAAATTTTCCAAGCATACCTTGCATTTGTCTCTCCAAATTCGACATAAAAATATCTGCTAACAGGGGCCGAAGAGGGCTACCCATCGCAACACCATCGATTTGTTTGTATGCCTTGACAATATTGTTAACTTTGCTACCCGTCTCGAAAAAACACTAGATCTAGTATTCATCAATGATGTTGGTATATATGAAGCTCGCAAACGTGCTCCTGTACTGAACTCTGACCACTGCATCATACGTGTACTGCCTAAAATATATTCCAAATCACACAAACGTGTTTTCTCTCACCTCTACAGTAAATTTCAACGGAGATGCTACTCACAAGTCAATCTAAGCGAACCCAGATGCATGTTGATAGATACTAACTGGGACCTATTTACAGAACAAACATTAAATGACACAATCACAAACACTACAGATTATCTTAAATTCTGTTTCGAAATATGTTGTCCTAAAGAAACATTATTCACTCGATTTGACCGTTTCTCTTCTCCATATCTCAAAAAGCCACGTAGAGATAAAGAACTGTTGTTCAAAACAAATGATAAGTCAGGTGTAAAAAAGCTAAATACTCTGATAAAACTCGAAATGCACAGACTAAATGTTTTATACAACCAAAGATTCTTGTCGTGTAAAACCCCTTCTAGTTTGTGGAAACTTTTTAAAGAAATCACTAGCGGTAAGCGGTGTACTTCTGTCCAATCTCTTAATGTTGATAATCTTAATAAGTCTTTCATACGCTCCTCTGTCGATATCCTTCCTAATGATACAAATCACATAGACAATAATTTTAGTGGTTTTAATACCCTTGATGTGCTTAAATGTCTCCGTTCTCTTAAGCCTTCCCAAAGCCTTGGTCCTGATGGCGTACATGCCATTGTCCTCAGGAACTGTGCTGATATTTTGTGTTACCCTCTTACTAATATTTTTAATGCTTCCTTTTCCAGTAATGTTCTACCTTCTGCATGGAAAAACATTAAAATTATCCCTATACCAAAACAATCTTCTGGTACCGATATTAAATTTAGGCCTATTGCAATTACTTCTCCTTTTTTAAAATTGATGGAAAAACTACTTTTACTTCGTCTTGAACCTTCATTGAAAGCTTTTAATGATCCTAAGCAATTTGCATATAAACATGGTAGAAGTACCTTGGATGCTGCGGTTGTCTTATATCATAATGTTGTTTCTTGTTTAGACAAAGGTGCCAAATATGTTCGTGGTGCTTTCCTAGACTACACATCTGCGTTTGACTCTGTACCTAGGGGCCTTTTATTAAATAAGCTCTCCTTGACGCACACAGCATCCTGGGCTAAGAGTTGGTTGCATTCTTATTTTTCTGATAGAATGCAGTATACTGCATATAATGGCAAATCTTCTGCTTTGCTTACAAAAGCCGGTGTTCCTCAAGGTGCCGTCCTCTCTCCTTTTCTTTTTTCTTTCTTCCTACACGACCTGCCACATTTAAACGAAACTAATTTTGTCAAATATGCTGATGATCTGACTGTATCACTGCCTATCACTTCCGAGTCTGACTGCTCCAAACTTAATAGCTTTCTGTTGGACATCAGCAAGTGGTCTAAGTCAGATGGTCTTATGTTAAATCCTTCCAAATGTCAGGCAGTTAACTTTACTTTCAAGCATCGACGTGACATACATGAACTAGTTAGTTCCCATGATGCCTGTAGCATAGATGGCACAGAAATTGAAACCAAGTCAGGCATTAAATACCTTGGATTAGTTCTTTCCTCTGACCTTTCATGGTCATCCCACATCTTATTGATCTCTAAGAAAATGTTTCGACTTACCTTCTACATTAAAAAGTTAAGACAATCAGGTATCAACCAACCTTTAGTTCTGCAATTTTTAAACTCCTGTATTTTACCTATTGTACTCTATTGTTCTCCATTAATCTTTCCTGGGCTTCTTAAAAAAGACTATGTCATATTACGAAGGGTATTAAATGCTGTGAGTAGGGCTTGTGGTTTGCCACTGTGTGAGCTCGCCAATACTATAGTCGAGAGACACGTAAATTCCTGTACAAAGTGGGCAAAGGCCGTACTGTCAGACCCTCTGCACCCTCTTTATTCACAACTATCCCCTTGTATCTCATCCGGTAGAACGAGAAGTCAATTTAAGAAATTATATGCTCGTACCACTAAGTACAAAAATTCTACAATACCGTATTTAGCCCGTATTTTATGTGATGAAGACTCTGTTAGACGTGAAACATATAAGTTACTATGTAATTAGCAAAGTGAATCGACCCTTTCATTGTTCATCTTTCTGTAATTTTATGGTGTCACTCTTTCTATCGTTTAATTATAACTTTGCTATTTTTATTTTAGTTGTTATTACTATTATTACTACAATTTTATACTTTATGCATATTTTTCTCCTTATTGCATACTGTAATTGCTACATAGCTCCTATAAAAACGTTTTGTTATCATTATTATGTAATGATTATTTCGTTTATTTATTTTTTGTTGTCGTTTTTGAGTAAATTAGATGCAATATTGTACTGAATGCTGAAAATTCCTTGCTGTATCATTAGTACTGCTTTTGGAATAAAGCAAATTATTATTATTATTATTAAAAAGGAGCACTCTTGGTGAGAAGAAGAATCATCAATCCAAGTTAGGCCACGGTAGGAACAGCGCCTGGACGTGTTCTTTTTGGATACAAAGTTCCGGTTAAGTCGATCTTATTGCAACAGCTTCAGCTATGTGTAGAAGACGTAAGCGAACTGTAAGTGATAACGACTTCGGAATTTGGTATATAACCCTGAAAGCTGTGTTGACATCGATATGATGTCCAGTATCGACCAAGTGTGACAGGATCGAGCTTTTTATGCACTTAATTTCCCCCTGCTGAACCAAGCTGGTAAATGTTCTCGAACCCGTAGACGAACCTGCCTAACCGTGCGCCCTATATAACTTGAACCACAGGAACAGTTGAAATGGTATATGCATGAAGAAGAGCTAAGCTTAGGTAAGACATCTTTGAGTTGCTGGGTAAACATTGGACGGCTACTGAAGGATAGACACAGACGTGCAGAGTAGAGACTTTTCTTGATCGCCCTGGTTAAACGTGACTGTTTTCCTTCCAGATGAAGTTCTTTATCCGTTCTCTCCTTATATTTTTAATTTTAATCTATGTTGTTTTACTATTATTGTGTGGCGCATCTTTCTTGGTGTCATATTATACCAAGTTTTTTCTGCGTTTAAATAAAATAAATAATTGCTCACCGCACTGTTACAATTCCTTATTACTTTCTGTTGACTCATATCAATGACTACTTTCAACTCTTGTCATGTGTTTATTGATTCTCTCCTTCTACACTGTTAGGCACACATGACTTCTTGAATTGCTATACTTTTCGAGATAGTGTACATCTCTATAATCTGCAAAGGGATTATTTTTCTTAGTGATAAAAATCAGTATCTCATAGTTCCACTAAGCTAACTGTAGTGGTTTAGTGTGTATACTAAAAGTAAGCTGGACAAGGTTGATTAACAGTGGGCGAACAAACGTGTGTAGCACAGATTGCAAGTATCCATTGGCGGTTAGTGCTTGAAAAGTATAAATCTAATTTTTTTTGTTTTTGAAGTTTCGTATCACTCATTTTCAAACAACTGCGATTACTGAATTTTTTGTTATAAATTGGGTTGAACTGAGCACACGACTCAAAAAGTGTGACTTCCCAATAAAATCATTTTATTTGGATAGTTTTGCTTTTTCTAAGAGCTTAGCATTGAAGAAGTAACACTGATATTAAAGCTATTTTTATTAGCTGTAAATCTAGGAATTATTTCAAGATTTTTGAGGATTTTCGATTATCATTTTTGATATAATATCTTCTATTCGATCTTTTAAAGGAATATTTTGCATCCCAACTGTTTATAATTACACCTTTTGTCACTTTGTTTAGGTTCGGCGCTTGTACGACACCAATACGACTCAGCGGCTGTGGAGAAGGCAAATCCTTCTCCTCAACTACCACTTTGTAATCGACGTAAACGCCGACGTATAGAGGAGAATCCAATGCATTCGAGTAACAAAAAATCTTTAGTTCCATCAGTTAACACTTCTCATTTAACATGGAAACCGAAAACTTATCATCGTCGGTGGGATGAGATATGGAATTACTGTACTAATAACAAATGTCCATATGTTCCTGCATCTGCTATGCAGTTACTACGACATCTGGAACAAGGTCATCAGGAATTTGTTAATATTAATCCGCTTGTTGTGCTTATAGAAACACGTCCAAAAAGCGCTGAAAATAATGGCAGCATGATAAATCTTGCAATAGATTATGGTGATTACCTGATGAGTCGTTTTTATGTCCCCCTTGCAGTAAATATGTCCAACTCGTCTTTAAGTATGCCAGAATACTCTTGTTCTGTATGTGGTCGGATTAGCAAGAGTCAGAGGGCATTAAGTAATCACCTTGAACGGTGAGTGTATACATACATCTAATATACTCATTTTTTCGATTGATATGTCAGTTTGTAAAATATATCATCCTTCAACATTTTGTTCTAGACAAAAGCGGTTCTTGTCATTCTTTTAACGTAACGGCTATTGAGACCACACAATAAAAATGGATTTACTAGTAAAATCCAGAAAACAAACATAAAAGAGATTGATTTCAAGCGCTATCTATGCCCAGTTACATCCTCTTAGGACTTAAAGATGCTTGCGTGGGTAAGCGTCTATCATCAGACCTATCCACTTATCATTAATATGGTCGTCACTCAACTCTGCATCAACAACAAAATGATTCGGATTTTCAATACAAACGTCAAGTCAGTCACTTCTTCTATACGGATGAGAAACTTGGCGGGTCACAAAGAATATTTCCAACAGCCTGTTGTAGACCTTTATCAACAACTGTCTTCGTTCTATACTCAAGATCAGATGGCCGGAAAGAATCACCAACAAGAAACTATGAGAACAAACAAAACAAGAACCAATCGCTCAACAAATATGAAGGAGAAAGTGGAGATGGATTGGACACTCGGTGAGGAGGCCGCCGGGTGACATCGCGTGTCAGGCCATAGCTCGAGTGGCATCCGAAAGGGAAGCGGCGAGTGGGACGTCAGTGCAAGGGTGACATGGAGGATATCGTGTGAAGAGGAGCTGAAACAGTATGGACTAACATGGATGCAAGTGAAAAGTCCAGCAGAAGACAGAAGCAAGTGGAGACGTGCAGTTGAAGCTCCATGTTCCACTAGGAACCAAGGGTACAATAATAATAATAAATAAATAACTGTCATAAAAGTATGACAGAAGTGAAGAATAAGCAAAGCAGGGAGAAGTTTCAATTATAAGATTTGATAGTGTAGGGAATTCCCATATAATGAATCAAAACAGCAAATCTGAACAAAGAATATTCTTCTCAATTATAAAATATAATATTTGTTGTCGTTGGAGATTCTATAACAACGTTTATAATTGTAAGAACCTGAAGAGAAATTATTGAGAAGAATATTCTTCGTTCAGATTTGCTTTTTCGATTCATAATATGGGAATTTCCTACACTATCAAATCTTATAATTGAAACTTCTCCCTGCTTTGCTTATTCTTCACTTCTGTCATACTTTTATGACAGTTATTTATTTATTATTATTATTGTACCCTTGGTTCCTAGTGGAACATAGGGCTTCAACTGCACGTCTCCACTTGCTTCTGTCTTCTGCTGGACTTTTCACTTGCATCCATGTTAGTCCATACTGTTTCAGCTCCTCTTCACACGATCTCCTCCATGTCACCCTTGCACTGACGTCCCACTCGCCGCTTCCCTTTCGGATTCCACTCGAGCTATGGCCTGACACGCGATGTCACCCGGCGGCCTCCTCACCGAGTGTCCAATCCATCTCCACTTTCTCCTTCATATTTGTTGAGCGATTGGTTCTTGTTTTGTTTGTTCTCATAGTCTCTTGTTGGTGATTCTTTCCGGCCATCTGATCTCGAGTATAGAACGAAGACAGTTGTTGATAAAGGTCTACAACAGGCTGTTGGAAATATTCTTTGTGACCCGCCAAGTTTCTCATCCGTATAGAAGAAGTGACTGACTTGACGTTTGTATTGAAAATCCGAATCATTTTGTTGTTGATGCAGAGTTGAGTGACGACCATATTAATGATAAGTGGATAGGTCTGATGATAGACGCTTACCCACGCAAGCATCTTTAAGTCCTAAGAGGATGTAACTGGGCATAGATAGCGCTTGAAATCAATCTCTTTTATGTTTGTTTTCTGGATTTTACTAGTAAATCCATTTTTATTGTGTGGTCTCAATAGCCGTTACGTTAAAAGAATGACAAGAACCGCTTTTGTCTAGAACAAAATGTTGAAGGATGATATATTTTACAAACTGACATATCAATCGAAAAAATGAGTATATTAGATGTATGTATACACTCACCGTTCAAGGTGATTACTTAATGCCCTCTGACTCTTGCTAATCCGACCACATACAGAACAAGAGTATTCTGGCATACTTAAAGACGAGTTGGACATATTTACTGCAAGGGGGACATAAAAACGACTCATCAGGTAATCACCATAATCTATTGCAAGATTTATCATGCTGCCATTATTTTCAGCGCTTTTTGGACGTGTTTCTATAAGCACAACAAGCGGATTAATATTAACAAATTCCTGATGACCTTGTTCCAGATGTCGTAGTAACTGCATAGCAGATGCAGGAACATATGGACATTTGTTATTAGTACAGTAATTCCATATCTCATCCCACCGACGATGATAAGTTTTCGGTTTCCATGTTAAATGAGAAGTGTTAACTGATGGAACTAAAGATTTTTTGTTACTCGAATGCATTGGATTCTCCTCTATACGTCGGCGTTTACGTCGATTACAAAGTGGTAGTTGAGGAGAAGGATTTGCCTTCTCCACAGCCGCTGAGTCGTATTGGTGTCGTACAAGCGCCGAACCTAAACAAAGTGACAAAAGGTGTAATTATAAACAGTTGGGATGCAAAATATTCCTTTAGAAGATCGAATAGAAGATATTATATCAAAAATGACAATCGAAAATCCTCAAAAATCTTGAAATAATTCCTAGATTTACAGCTAATAAAATAAATAGCTTTAATATCAGTGTTACTTCTTCAATGCTAAGCTCTCAGAAAAAGCAAAACTATACAAATAAAATGATTTTATTGGGAAGTCACACTTTTTGAGTCGTGTGCTCAGTTCAACCCAATTTATAACAAAAAATTCAGTAATCGCAGTTGTTTGAAAATGAGTGATACGAAACTTCAAAAACAAAAAAAATTTGATTTATACTTTTCAAGCACTAACCGCCAATGGATACTTGCAATCTGTGCTACACACGTTTGTTCGCCCACTGTTAATCAACCTTGTCCAGCTTACTTTTAGTATACACACTAAACCACTACAGTTAGCTTAGTGGAACTATGAGATACTGATTTTTATCACTAAGAAAAATAATCCCTTTGCAGATTATAGAGATGTACACTATCTCGAAAAGTATAGCAATTCAAGAAGTCATGTGTGCCTAACAGTGTAGAAGGAGAGAATCAATAAACACATGACAAGAGTTGAAAGTAGTCATTGATATGAGTCAACAGAAAGTAATAAGGAATTGTAACAGTGCGGTGAGCAATTATTTATTTTATTTAAACGCAGAAAAAACTTGGTATAATATGACACCAAGAAAGATGCGCCACACAATAATAGTAAAACAACATAGATTAAAATTAAAAATATAAGGAGAGAACGGATAAAGAACTTCATCTGGAAGGAAAACAGTCACGTTTAACCAGGGCGATCAAGAAAAGTTTCTACTCTGCACGTCTGTGTCTATCCTTCAGTAGCCGTCCAATGTTTACCCAGCAACTCAAAGATGTCTTACCTAAGCTTAGCTCTTCTTCATGCATATACCATTTCAACTGTTCCTGTGGTTCAAGTTATATAGGGCGCACGGTTAGGCAGGTTCGTCTACGGGTTCGAGAACATTTACCAGCTTGGTTCAGCAGGGGGGAAATTAAGTGCATAAAAAGCTCGATCCTGTCACACTTGGTCGATACTGGACATCATATCGATGTCAACACAGCTTTCAGGGTTATATACCAAATTCCGAAGTCGTTATCACTTACAGTTCGCTTACGTCTTCTACACATAGCTGAAGCTGTTGCAATAAGATCGACTTAACCGGAACTTTGTATCCAAAAAGAACACGTCTAGACGCTGTTCCTACCGTGGCCTAACTTGGATTGATGATTCTTCTTCTCACCAAGAGTGCTCCTTTTTAATAATAATAATAATAATTTGCTTTATTCCAAAAACAGTACTAATGATACAGCAAGGAATTTTCAGCATTCAGTACAATATTGCATCTAATTTACTCAAAAACGACAACAAAAAATAAATAAACGAAATAATCATTACATAATAATGATAACAAAACGTTTTTATAGGAGCTATGTAGCAATTACAGTATGCAATAAGGAGAAAAATATGCATAAAGTATAAAATTGTAGTAATAATAGTAATAACAACTAAAATAAAAATAGCAGTTATAATTAAACGATAGAAAGGGTGACACCATAAAATTCCAGAAAGATGAACAATGAAAGGGTCGATTCACTTTGCTAATTACATAGTAACTTATATGTTTCACGTCTAACAGAGTCTTCATCACATAAAATACGGGCTAAATACGGTATTGTAGAATTTTTGTACTTAGTGGTACGAGCATATAATTTCTTAAATTGACTTCTCGTTCTACCGGATGAGATACAAGGGGATAGTTGTGAATAAAGAGGGTGCAGAGGGTCTGACAGTACGGCCTTTGCCCACTTTGTACAGGAATTTACGTGTCTCTCGACTATAGTATTGGCGAGCTCACACAGTGGCAAACCACAAGCCCTACTCACAGCATTTAATACCCTTCGTAATATGACTTAGTCTTTTTTAAGAAGCCCAGGAAAGATTAATGGAGAACAATAGAGTACAATAGGTAAAATACAGGAGTTTAAAAATTGCAGAACTAAAGGTTGGTTGATACCTGATTGTCTTAACTTTTTAATGTAGAAGGTAAGTCGAAACATTTTCTTAGAGATCAATAAGATGTGGGATGACCATGAAAGGTCAGAGGAAAGAACTAATCCAAGGTATTTAATGCCTGACTTGGTTTCAATTTCTGTGCCATCTATGCTACAGGCATCATGGGAACTAACTAGTTCATGTATGTCACGTCGATGCTTGAAAGTAAAGTTAACTGCCTGACATTTGGAAGGATTTAACATAAGACCATCTGACTTAGACCACTTGCTGATGTCCAACAGAAAGCTATTAAGTTTGGAGCAGTCAGACTCGGAAGTGATAGGCAGTGATACAGTCAGATCATCAGCATATTTGACAAAATTAGTTTCGTTTAAATGTGGCAGGTCGTGTAGGAAGAAAGAAAAAAGAAAAGGAGAGAGGACGGCACCTTGAGGAACACCGGCTTTTGTAAGCAAAGCAGAAGATTTGCCATTATATGCAGTATACTGCATTCTATCAGAAAAATAAGAATGCAACCAACTCTTAGCCCAGGATGCTGTGTGCGTCAAGGAGAGCTTATTTAATAAAAGGCCCCTAGGTACAGAGTCAAACGCAGATGTGTAGTCTAGGAAAGCACCACGAACATATTTGGCACCTTTGTCTAAACAAGAAACAACATTATGATATAAGACAACCGCAGCATCCAAGGTACTTCTACCATGTTTATATGCAAATTGCTTAGGATCATTAAAAGCTTTCAATGAAGGTTCAAGACGAAGTAAAAGTAGTTTTTCCATCAATTTTAAAAAAGGAGAAGTAATTGCAATAGGCCTAAATTTAATATCGGTACCAGAAGATTGTTTTGGTATAGGGATAATTTTAATGTTTTTCCATGCAGAAGGTAGAACATTACTGGAAAAGGAAGCATTAAAAATATTAGTAAGAGGGTAACACAAAATATCAGCACAGTTCCTGAGGACAATGGCATGTACGCCATCAGGACCAAGGCTTTGGGAAGGCTTAAGAGAACGGAGACATTTAAGCACATCAAGGGTATTAAAACCACTAAAATTATTGTCTATGTGATTTGTATCATTAGGAAGGATATCGACAGAGGAGCGTATGAAAGACTTATTCAGATTATCAACATTAAGAGATTGGACAGAAGTACACCGCTTACCGCTAGTGATTTCTTTAAAAAGTTTCCACAAACTAGAAGGGGTTTTACACGACAAGAATCTTTGGTTGTATAAAACATTTAGTCTGTGCATTTCGAGTTTTATCAGAGTATTTAGCTTTTTTACACCTGACTTATCATTTGTTTTGAACAACAGTTCTTTATCTCTACGTGGCTTTTTGAGATATGGAGAAGAGAAACGGTCAAATCGAGTGAATAATGTTTCTTTAGGACAACATATTTCGAAACAGAATTTAAGATAATCTGTAGTGTTTGTGATTGTGTCATTTAATGTTTGTTCTGTAAATAGGTCCCAGTTAGTATCTATCAACATGCATCTGAGTTCGCTTAGATTGACTTGTGAGTAGCATCTCCGTTGAAATTTACTGTAGAGGTGAGAGAAAACACGTTTGTGTGATTTGGAATATATTTTAGGCAGTACACGTATGATGCAGTGGTCAGAGTTCAGTACAGGAGCACGTTTGCGAGCTTCATATATACCAACATCATTGATGAATACTAGATCTAGTGTTTTTTCGAGACGGGTAGCAAAGTTAACAATATTGTCATGGCCAAGTGATATAAGGAAGGAGTGATCACATGAGTTAAAATCGCCAGTCACTATTGATAAAGAGTTCTCGAAGCAAGCTGCAGCAAAAGCGGTGAATTCATCTGCGAACATAGATAAATCCGATATGGTACAGCCAGGAGAGACATAAACATTAGAAATATAAATGAATTTGTATTTTGACAAGTGTCTCCGGCGACATCTGACAGTGATGCAATCAATGTAGTCATTCGAGAATTTGAAACAAACTTTGTTAGAAATAGGCCATTTTGAGTGAATAAATGTAGCTACACCTCCGCCGCATTTTTTCTTGGAACAAACACGGTCTTGTCGGAATACATTAAAATCATTTAAAGATACTATATTGTCATCATACGAGTCATGGAGCCAGGTTTCTTGTAGAGTGACAATACCAGTATTGTGATAAGTTTCGGATAACAACAGGGACTGAAAATCCAGAATTTTGTTAGGCAGTGACCGGCAGTTGGTACTAACGATAACCGGAACAGTGGTGTGATGTATGGGTGTAGATTTTAAAGCACGTTGCCAACCACCATGGTGCTTTTTCTTGAGTTTATTGCAAATCTGAAAGCTTTTAGGTTTTAAGCATTTTATATAATCCCGAGAGTGAATGATACGATTAGAATGCATAATTTTAAATGTAAACACCAACAAAATATGAGTTATTAGATGCAAAATGTACATGGAATATGCTAGGAAAAGCGATATAGGCAGATTTTGATTGGCTGTTGGCTAGCTGGCTTCTTATTGGTCTAAAATATAAGTTAAAATGCAGTCTCTTTATTTTGACACGGAAATTTACAGTCAGTTTACAGTCAGGCTTAACTTACCATAATATAACGGCGTGTTAATTTTTTTGGTGTGAGTGTAGTGTGATAGTCACACGCTATTTGGATGCATTTGTAGTATTTAAAGTACATTGAGATATATGGGAATGTCTAGCAAGTGAATATAAATTAACAATAATTTTGATGCATTTATTTTAAGCCCAAAATAGGATGTATGCATTTTTGCTTACTAGGCGAATATAATTCAACTACAATTTCTAAATATATAATGTGTCTTTAATTAGAACGTATAGATAAATGTACGTATTAACTGATCCACTTTTTTAAGTTGTTAGTTTGGTGACCTGTGGGATTTGTGCATATTAGGTCAGCATAAATCAATTAAATGTACTAGGTCACGACAGTGGTTTATGAGCACTGAAATATATACTATTATTCATCTACTTGAAATTATAATGTTGTGTTCGTTGGTCATTGTTAAAACCATTACATGACGTTACAAGATACTCCTGCAGCCTCTACTACACGAAATGTGTCATCTATATTGTCTGATGTAATGGCTATATTCCAAAGAATAATGCTTAGTTGTGTATTTTATACGTGGGTGCAACTTAAGCAAGCTTTTGATACATTTATGAAGGTAACAACTAAATTGTTCATTATTTCTTTGAAGGGAATCCAACACATGCTAACGGCTTGATTCAGGTAAAAAAGACCCATCTGGCCCTATCGAATATAAGTTTGTGAGCTTCGAATGCACTTTTGGAGGTATAGTTTAGTAAGCTTGGGACGCTTAAAATACCAACCATGCAACAATTCTCAGCAAAGTCTAACCAACGCGTCAATAATGCCTTTTTACGGTAAATGAATATTTTATCTACTTGAAGTGAACCCAGTATGTACTGAAATAACCCTGGTCCTTCTAGAAAGCTACTATATTTGGGTCTCGCCTACTCAGGAACATTCTGCCTCCCCCCAGTGCTATAATTATAGGAAATTTTCCCTGTCAGTATACTTACTTTCGAGTACCAAATACAGCCGACTGTTTTTGGATGCTGTTCGGACAGATTGGAGTAATTCCTTACTGCAATATGAGAACTGTTTCGGAGATGAACATATTGTTTACAATATTCATTTTCTGAAACGTACAGTGGATGACGTCGAGCTGCATGGGCTATTAGAGGGATTCAGTGCATTTCCCTTTGAATTCTATATGCGCATGATCAGACAGTTCGTGCAATGTGGATATGTTGTGGCTAAGCAGGCAGCTCAGCGTTATGTTGAGCACGTGCACTTAATGAAAAGTACAGGTGTCAAGCATGTACCTATAGAAGCTAGTACTAAAGGCGTTAAGTTTAGCAAAGGAAAGTTAACTTATCTGAACGTCATATTTACTTCTTATTCTCCGGACAATGTAATCTTAGCCTCAAGTAAACCGGGGGAATATAGTTGAAATGGAAAGTGAAGATAGGATACGCTTTCGACCCTACTGTGATTTTAGTGATGATTTTAATACACCATTTAAATCAAGGAATTTAGGGATATTCAGATGTACGAAATTCAGTCACGAGATGTAAGGTTCATTAATGAAGTACTTATTTCTGTAGCGACCAACTGATGACATCGAGAGAGGTTGGTGACATAATGGATTAGGCCACGAAATCGTACTTTCATAATTTGAAAGATCGTGTCCAAAGGCTCAACCTGAAGAAAGGAATTCAGGTAATACTGTTAAACGCCCGCTTCGTTTTATAGGTTACCGTTAAGACAACATCTAGGAATCACAACATTGTTTTTATTTCTAGGCAAATGGAAAAGATAGCAGGGGATATAACAGTGGCAGTTATGTAAGCAAACTTTTCTAAATGCAAATGCTGAGAATGTGATGAGCACAATGTTTCATCAACTGATATTTTATTTTGCTTATTTACAGGGTGCTACCAGTGGACCTAACTTGATAGATTTGCAGTGACATTGTACTACAGTTTCCAAATATAATTTCCAAATTTAAGCTCAAAAAAATTGCCACTATGTGCTAAATTAAGTCTTTTTCTTCTGAAGTTAAGCTAGTCCGTACTGAAAATGAGCTAAAAGGGCTTAAATAAAGCTGATAAGCAAAACCAGTAGGTTCTCATCTACTCCTGAAAATGTCTACAAAAAGAACATGGTGTTGAATTAGTGTCAGTCATGCTGAAAACCAAAACTGAGTTCTAGACTGTGAAATTAAAGAGTCTATTTAAGAAAAGATCCAGAATTTACTGACTGTAGAACGTTGGAATTAGTGAGATTTAATTCAGCATTATTGTAAGCTTGGGAGGAGCAGAACCTGGACTAGAAGGGCTGCAATAAGGCTGATAAGCTACTTCTGAAAGTGCGTAGAAGAAGAGCAAGGTGCTGAATTGGTGCCAGTTATGCTGATAAACCAGCGCATAGTTCCAGTTTAAGCAATTAATCCGTAACTGTTCTGCCACTGTTCGATCCAACAATGGCAGAACAGTTAAGGCGTTTAATTACTGAGAAAAGTTACTATATTAGCAAAGTATACATGAATTGGCTCAATGATTGCAGATTTACCATAATCCTTAACTGCCAACATAAAAACTGGGAACTGCAAGCTAAAAATAAACGTCTTAGTAGCATCCAGTGACAAAAAACTGACCTACATACTCCAAAACAAGCAAAACGTTCAAGAAAACCTTTAAAATTCAATGGAAAACGAATTCATGAAAACATATAACCAGCAGACGCAGGAACCCATCATGACCTTGAAACTGACTAT